TCCACTAAAATGGACTTTAAGTGAATTGGGCCGGGTCAGATTTGGGCCGGTTTTGAGAAAATGGATTTTTGAGCAGGCTTTCTTCAAGAGTTCAAGTAAAGTACTCCAATTAAAAAGGGTAACAACTTCCGAGTTGCAGAAGTTCATATCAGAAAATTGAGGAATGCCCAAAAAGTTATTGAATGAAGATACTTGAAACATACTTTACCTCTTTTAGCCCAAAGCCAAAATCAAACAACTAAAATTGCAACTAAGAAATGCGAAAAAAACATAGGAGGAATGAAAGATTACCAGCTAACAATCAAGAAAATCGTTGACACCTTAACTGCAATAGCTTCAACAATTGATGAATCTGATCACGATGAAGCCATTTTTAATGCCTTATATGATAATATGATATCAAATCAATTCTGTCTAGAAATGATCCTTATTAAGTGGCAAAAGTTGAAGCATATCTATTTTGAGACAAGAAGAACGGGTAGAAAGGAGAAAACAAAGTTCAAATGCTTTCAACGTGTATCTCTTGCAGGCCAGTCTTGCCCAAATACAACAGAATGAACAGATCACTCATAATAGTAAGGGACATTCTTTATGGGATCATGGCAGGTCTTATAATGCAAACAACTTCCAAGGAAGGTGAAGGTTCCATAATAGAAGTGGTGGTAGACAATGCCAAGTCTATGGTAAAATTGGACACACGACCATCAATTGTTATCACAAACTCATTGCTCACAATCAAACTAACTCTCTGTATCAGAATGTTGATCATCAATTCAATCGCAACCTACAAATTACTTGACGATTTATGCTTGCAGAACTAAGTCATGGCCTAGTAGGGGAACCAATGCATTAGTGGTGAGTGGTGACTCTAGGATAAAAAAGGCCAATGGAGACACAACAGACATTCACAATCTTTCCTTGTTCCTCCCAAGTCTTCCAAACTTCTACTTCAGAACTTGCTGCATGTACCCAAAATCATCAGAAACTTGATGAGTGTATCTCAATTTGCCAAAGATAACTTTGAGTTTCACCTTGACAAATGTCATGTGAAATCACAGGGAAACAATTTAGTACTTATGGAAAGGCATACTTAAGTTAAGAACGACCTTTACATTTGTTCTTGTCTGCGCTCTTGCAATTCACGTTGTCATTCAGTTGCATGTAATTCTTCCACTCGATACAAATATTTTTGGCTTGGTATATATGTTAGACCTGGTCATGCTTCATATTCTATGGTAAACATTGTTCTCAAGAATTCTAATGTTCCTATTGATACTAATAGAACAACTTTTATCTGTAAAGCGTGTTTATATTTATCAGTTTGTTTAACAACATCAAATACTTTTAATTCAATAAATTTGTTTAAAGTTTAAACTATTGATAGCAAATAGAATAGCTTTTCACGTACAACAACAAAGATAACCAAAATTCATAGTGACACAATTGGGTAATGATTTCGAAACATAATCATACTATTGACTTAGTCTCAGCTTAGTCTAATTCCAATCCAAAGCGCGTTGCATAATTTCTCCATGACTCATTTTTCTTCGTATCACTTTCTAAGATGCCGTGATATGGTCTTCAACAGAGACTGAATAAGAAAGTCATGAAAAAGGAGTCAATAAGATGACATTTTTTTCAAATCAAAAAGTTAACCCCGTAGTAGATGTTAAGATTAGTTTCTAATTTTCAACTCCCACTGTATGTCTTTCTTGAGTTTTAAAGATGCAGTAGTTACAAAATACAACTAGTCATTACCTGCTTATTCATAATATTTTGTTGCATAGTGCATACGGCCATTCTCAAATTCAACTTACCCAACTAATCATCGATAAATAAAGCCAAAAATAAGTGCTTGTCGCAAATGGAGAGGTCACTTTCTTGAACGGGTCATAGGTTGTAGAGGTGGCTCAGGTGCTTATTCTACTCATATATAAAATACCAATAGAGCCCCCATATACGTATTAATATTATTGACCCTTTCAAAAATGAGAATATAGTCTTTTGAACTTGAGTATCTAGATGTTCAGAAAAGAAAAGCATGGTTTCTTGTTTGAGGGTGCTTATAATTTCACAGTCAATCATCTGAAGCTTGACTATTACATTCATAGTGGTGACTAATTTCATAGGTTGATGCCTAGGTCGCTCATTGGCTAATACAATTCCAAGGTAACTTACTACCTTTTACTATTATTTTCTTTGTATGACCCAGTAGACACTTCACGTTAGTTAGGGGCTCAACCAAACAAAGATGATAGTATAAATTCACTCTTCCCTGCCCTTTTTGCTCAACACTAACCAACCACTCCTTCCTTGTGTCTAATTGTGCCTTCTCTTCTCTCCTTCCTTAATAAAACTCAAAACTCTTCTTGTTAATTAAGAATGTTTCGCACCATGTTTGCTTGCTTTAATGGAAAAGCATCACATAAAAAAGCAAAAGTAGAACCACTTGAGATCAAAGAAGCTGTTTACAGAGATGAGTTAACCAAAAAACAAACGCCAAAGAAGGCAGTAGTGAAGAAAACTGTCCGGTTTGCAGAATCAGAACCTACAATTTTGGGAGAAGATAATGAAAAGGATTTTGAGAAAATAAGGTGTGGTAATGATAATGAAGCGAGAGAAAAAGAGGGGATGAGAGTGAGGGTTAAATTGACAAAAGAAGAAGCTGCTCGGTTGCTATCAAAATGCAATGGAGGAGTTCTTGAATTCAATGATGTTGCTCGTGAGCTTGTGCTGATCCCGGTTAGCAGAGTTAACATTGTGTCTGATCGCACAAACAATTTGTAGAAGTGGCTAGCTATTCATTGGGATGACTACAATCCTTCTTTTTCTTGTACAATGATTAGAATTCGTTTTTGTACAAAAGCCTTATATATAAAATAATTAATATTTGGTGAATTATTTTCCTTTCGTGATATTAATGTCATGGAAAAGAAACATACGATGAATAGAGTAGAGACACGTTCTGTTCAGATTAGCTTAAACCCAAGAATTAGCCACAAGAATCACATGAAAAAGTGGCCTACAATTCTACGTGATCGGTGAGTTAGGAAACTATGCTCCTTGACTATGCTTAGGACTTTAATCTTAGGATTTTGATCCTGAGTCCGTGTGTATGAAAAATCGTATGTTACAATTCTTAAATGAATAATCTCCAACTTTTGACTGTACTGAACAACCAGAAAAGAATCTCTAATGAAGCTGAGACATGAATAGTCAGCCTGCTTTTGTACCCAAGTTAACTATCTTCGTTCGGCTTGTCCTTCTAGTGCCTCCTTTACTTTGGGATTTTCCCCAAATGAGATGCAGATCATGGTTTTGTTTGATATTTTATTTTATTGTACTTGGTCAAGTTCTTTTCAGGCAAATTTGCATGTCCTTCCCGGAAGCCATCACGAGACTTATTCTAGAATACTTTTCTTCAATGTTTTACATGCCTATTTTATTTTAGAATAATATGTTGTATTAAGGAAAAAGTTAATTTATTATCCATTAATTTAACTTTTTTCATTCTCTATATAATCACAATGGAACAATAAAAGAATATCTTTTACAATAATGGTTTTGGTCATCCTTTTGTATTGATTAGTTTTTGGTACAAATCTTTATGTCAGATTCTATTGCTTATGTAAGCATTTGAAAGTTCTCATATATTCTCATTTGTTAACACTAACTTTCTACCAGTTTCTCGTTCAATGTTAATTTGAAATTACTTGAAATACAAGAATTTTTTTTTAAGAACATATTATCAAATCTTTCTAAAGTGGTCATCAATAAAGAAAATATAATATTTTGCACCTCAGTGGATACTGGTGCTCATTGGACCACAAACATCCGGGATTCAAAACATCTGGTCTTCTATATGGAACCTGGTAGCATAAAGAAGCTCTCATGATTTTAAGAGACATATTTGTTCCTTTCAATTTTCAAACCAATCAATATTTTTTTTGACTGAAATTTGAAGCCATTTTTCACTTGTATTTCCATGCGATTTATGTCATAACTCAACTAAGGAGTCTTATTTAAAGGCATTAACACTCTCATTGTTGACTTTAACTTGTATCACATAAATACTACATATTTTCTTACCTTGAACCATACCATGGAACTTTACATTAGCTTCCATTTCCTATCAATATTAAATTAAGATGCATGTCAAGAACATGACTTAGTGTGTTTGTTTTATTGTTTGACAAACGTACGTTGAATGGAAAAGATAAAAATAGTTATTTTGTATTTTGATATTTTGAAAAGTGTATTTTTACGTTTTCGTTAAAAAAACGGTTTTCAAACACGTTACTAATTCTGATGTTGTGGGACAAGCAATATTTGTTTTTAGAAAAACATTTGCTCTTTCCCCAACAATCTTCCTTCCATAACAAATATCATTGATATTAATTAATTTATACTGTTTTCTTAAAAGAAAATTAAAAATAATTGAAAGTATCTTTTAAATTTTATATTAATGTATCCGTACCCTATTTTGAAAGAAAAAAAAATTCATATCATGTACCTGTGTTTGTCCACCTTTAACCATAACTGGGACTAATTTATTGCTTTTATAATCTATTTTCCTCATTTCTTTCACAATGAAGTGGTTGCATACTCCTATGTAGGGTACCGTTAAAATTGACGAGCATTTCAACTTTATTATGTCTTTCCCCAGCAATCTTCCTTCCGTAACAAATATCATTGATATTAATTAATTTATACTGTTTTCTTTAAAAAAAATTAAAAAAAATTGAAAGTATCTTTTAAATTTTATATTAATGTATCCGTACCCCCTTTTGAAAAAAAAAAATACATATCATGTACCTGTGTTTGTCCACCTTTAACCATAACTGGGACGAAGGTAGGGCTTTTAGAATCTATTTTCCTCATTTCTTTCACCTTAACGAATGAAGTGGTTGCATACTCCTATGTAGGGTACCGTTAAAACTGACGAGCATTTCACCTTATCCTTTCATATCGAGAGATTATGGCTTCCTTGTCCAACGATATGCTATTTAAAACTTTATTATGGATAAAGAGGTAAGGTAAGATTATACCCGTTAGTCATACTATATAATGTGTGGTTTAGATTTACAAAACAAGATACACTCATGTTCTTGAAGAACATTCATTCAATAACTAACCTGTGATCTGGAACCAAAAGAATCATTAAACTAAACCATACCACATTATTAGAATTCATAATTAGGATAGGATTTTCATCTTAGTATCTAAACAAAGACTATAGGGGAGAATCTAAATTCATTGTGTGGCCTATTGGATGCCCCAAAAGAGAACATATATACTATCTCCAACAATAATCAGCATCTGCATCATTTGGAGGAATCTTCAGATCCACCATAGCCATAAGGGTTTTTGCTAGCCCAATTCCATTGATCGCGGCACATCTCATCGACACCATATTTAGCCCTGCAACGAAAATAAATTTGTGAGAAAAAGAAAAATGACAGACACAAATAACAATTTAGGAAACCTTGGCCAATTTTTTTATATCAGAAGATGAAAACATTTCCTGCAAGTGTGAAAAGAACGAAAAAGACTAAAATAGACGTGAAAGTATTCAGTCATTTCATATCAAGGATGGTGACAACGAACAAAGTTCAGGCAGAAGGCTGTGAGCCTTAAGATGAGCTATAGCAAATTAATACTTACTTCCAATTAAGTTCCTTTTGGGCTTTCTCAGTTGATGCATAAACAACTTCAGCATCGCCCCGTCTTCGACCAGCCATTGCAAGTGGAATTTTCTGAACATTAATAAATTGTAAAATTAAGTTAGTCCTGTACTGAAGAGTAGCTTAATCCAAATATATTATAAATGAGTTTGTTCATGATGTTTTTTTAGGTTTAACTATTTAAACAACTTAAACATGAAATTGAACAGATCCGTTGCATACAAAGGGCATATGTTTGTTTTCTAAAATTTTGTTTGCTCATTTTCATGTTGTCTGTAGCAGTCAGAGGAACAAAACATGTGGTTAAGGTACAAATACAATCAGGGATGATGCACTGGGACATATGCATGAGTCAAAAAATAAAAAATAAAAAAACACTAATTTTATGCTTGTTTCACATATTTTCCATTCCATTGTATCACAGAATGAAAAATTAGGGCAAAATTGTATTTATAAAAAATGACAAAAAAATTGCTTTAAGTGTTACAACACTATCAGTCTGTTAGTCTATTACCTTTCCAGAGGCTTTTTCAAAAGCCTTTACCATCTCCAAAACTGATGTTCCCTTTCCTGTTCCCAAGTTATAAACCTCACAACCTGTATGCAAACAGTTCGAAATTTTACCAACATAACATTAAATAAAAAGGAAATCCAGAAATAAGGGTCAAACGGAAAAGTTATCATTGGCTTATATAGAAATCAAATACTAATTTACATTCACAAATCACAATCATTGCTGCTACAGTTTAGCAAAACTAACACAGTAAATTATTAGAAGAAAATAACAAATTTGGAATAATACCTATTTTAGTATCATCCAGTTTACGCAGTGCAGCAATGTGCCCATCTGCTAAATCAACAACATGAATGTAATCACGAACCTGAGAAAAAAATAACATCAACCCTGTAAGATCCTCTGAAAAATTCAAAGGTAGATCTTAAAAATTGAGAATATACACATGTCAGAATAGCCTAACAGTGACTATGGTAGCTCAGGATATCCTAATCAACAAAACATTGCAAACAAAAGCGAAAAGTGTATAGTGTTAGTGTGTGAGCATTGCATACAATCTTTCAATGAAAAATTACAAAAACAAGTCAAAGACAGTGAGAACATACTCCAGTGCCGTCACTTGTTTTATAATCGTTTCCAAAAACTGTCAATGCAGGGCGTCTACCAACTGCAACTTGTTGAACAAAGGGCATGAGGTTGTTTGGAATTCCACGAGGATCCTCACCTATATAACCACTAGGGTGTGCACCAACAGGGTTGAAGTATCTCAACAGCATAATTTTCCAATTTGAATCTGCACGGTAGATATCACGACAAATTTCTTCAATGATAAGCTGAAAAGACAAATCTCTCATCAGATATTTTTGTTAGTTTCCAAGGCAAACATTACTACCGGTAATATTCAACAAATTACAAAATTATTATCAAAACCTTTTTTCTTATTGCAAGTTGCCATCAATTTCACTATTCAACAACTTCCTAGTCGTACCTTGGTTCGTCCATATGGGTTTGCTGCGGACAAAGGGAACTCCTCAGTACATGGAACCTTCTCTGGCCAGCCATATACAGTTGCTGAAGATGAGAACACAAGCTGAAATCATTCAAGAAATATAAAATCAGTTAAATATTGCAGCATCATAAAAATATAATGAGTAACCATTTCCACAAGACACTTCAAAATAAGAGGGGACTATAAGAAAGAAACATGTAGCTTCTGTTTAATTATTTTAAACAAACAATTGTAATTTAATGATTGATACTTTCCCACTACTAGTACTAAAATGAACATGACATTATAACCCATTAAGGACCCTGATTCCGGTCACACAAATTGAAATGCTATGGAATAGTGACGATATTCATCAATATAATTTACATTCTCAATGCAGTTGAAGCGAATCATAAAGGACTCAAAAGGTCAAAACTAAAATGAACACACACCTTCTTGCATCCATTGGCAGCCATGACTTCAAATAGAACGATTGTCCCAATCAAGTTGTTGTCAAAGTAGAGTAGTGGTTTCTCCACACTTTCACCTACTGCTTTCAGTCCAGCAAAATGTATGACTGCATCAAACCTTCAACAAAAATACACATACATGAATTTGCAAATCAGTGATCACGTAAAACTACAAGAGAACGTGATGCACCGACAAAAAATCATTGATATTTCTTTTTCCTTTTTTTCAATTACAAAATTTTCTGCCTTAATATCCTTACTTTGTGGAAGAAAAAACTTTCTGGAGGCCCTCTCTGTCCCGTAGGTCCAACTGCAGTTGGGAAAATATAATCGAGAGTCAATCCTCCCCACTTATCAATAATTAAGAAAATATAAATAATCAAAACCAGTCTGCAACACAGAATCATCAGGGGATGACCAGAACACAAATTGGATCTTAATAACAAACATAATCCAAACTCACATCACATCACATCCAATGTACATTATGTACTTGTCGCACTAATTGTGAAACACACATAACTCGAACCTGTCACGGTCTGTTTATCATTAAATATGGAATAAAGCACAAAACTTTTGCTTTTACCTGTCGGTGGGGGCCACCACAAGGCGAAATAAGCCCCGTAAAAAAAATACACGAATCCAATTACCCAAAAAGAAAAACAATTGTTAAATCGAAATCAACAATAGAAGACACAGAACCATCAAATTTTGAGAACCGTGCAACCAATGAAAATCCAATTTTTATTATTTTAAAATAGAAAAGAAAACGGTTGAACTTGAACCCCCATGGCATACCTTCTGAAAGGAAAGGTTATTTGCGAATTCTCCAGCCAGTGTCTTGACTCTGGCGATGGCGGCTTCGGAAGAATTGTCGAAGTTGTCGAGGGCGAAGACTTTGTATCCGCCGAGGAGAAGCTGAAGGACGGTGTGGCTACCGATGTAACCGGCTCCGCCGGTAACCAGAATTGTTTGGGTTGGCATAGTCGAGAGAGAAACGGAAGGAGTGAATGAGTAAACGGTAATGAATAGAGTGGTTTTGAATGGCAACAGAGAAGAGAAAAGAAAGGGTGCGTTATATTTATACAAGTTAAGAAATTGTTACGCGCAGGAAGCTTTTGGAGATGGCGAGAATTCCTTCTCTGTGTGACACGTTCATTATAAAGTCGTATATTACTACGTTGCTTTGTTCAGCAAAAATTTCATCTTATTTTAAAAATTATTTTTATTCCCAAGGTCCAGATCAGCCACGTGGAGTTCCAGTGTGTGTTCGGTTCTGCTTTTTGTCTTTCGTGTTTCTTATTTTTTCCACAGCAGTCATCGCAATTTTCTATTTTCTAATGATTCTTTCGTTAAAAAAAAATAAATGATTCTAATTTTATTTTTTTGTGTGATTCTTTTTTTTATTATTATTACTGATTGGCTGAATAGAAAATGTTAGACAGTTACACTCTCTGGTTGGAGTTTTTGTTTGTTGCTTTAGTGGTTATTATAAAATGGAATTATGGCATTGGTTGTTACAATTTTCGTATACTATATCGACGGCTGTGTAATATACGGGATAATTTTTTAATTCATTCATAATACTTCATAAATTGTTTGTTTGGTGGGAGATAATAATTCAGAAGTTGTTTGCTTTTAAAAATTCTTATAATTAATAATTAATATACCTTCTGTTACATGTCTTATACGTGAAAATTTGTTTGCGTGGATTTTGTGAAAAAAATTATACTGTATTTTTCTTATTTAAATAAATTAAAATAAATAAATAAACAATTTTTATAGTTAGGTGAACAATTATTTAAAAAAATTAAAAAAAATTGAGATAAAAAAGATATTGAAAGAGAAAAAGTGATTTAAATCTATGAGTAAAATAAAAAAAGGACAAAATGGTCCATATAAAAATGAAAACTAAAACAGTTATTAAAAGAAATATATTTTTTATATAATGATATGGATTATATGAAGAAAAAAAATTATGTGAATTTCGAGTAAAATTTCTTATAAATGAAATATTCTTTATGAAAATTTTGTGAAAAAAAAATAGTGTAATTTGTTACTTATATTTATTTTAAAATTGTTCATAATTAATAATTAATATTTTATAATGTCCTTCTGGTTTCAATTTTCTATAATTATTTTTTTAGAAATATCGTAGGAAAATAATATTATGAAGTGGAATTATTGCATATGAAAAATATAGGGGGAAAAATATTGCATGAAGAATTTAAGGCAAAGTTATCTGTTTAAAAAATTTAGTACACTTTTTTTTGTTTATATTTAATTTAGAACTGTTCATAATTAATGATTTACTATGGTATATATTAGTTTCGGATTCTTATAATTAATGTTTTTTTTTATTTTTGTTGAAAATCTCGGAGGAAAATAATAATTTAGAAATTGTTTATTTAGAGAAAAATAATAATACTTTAAAAGTTTTTCTTTTTAGTTTTATTTATTTTAGATCCTCTCATATTGATAATTAATATAATTAATATTTTATTTTATTATGTTGTTACAATTTCAATTTTCTTTTACGTGAATTTTGTGGAGAAAAAAATTAGCATAATTTTTCTTATTTATATTACATATAAAAAATTTACGTGAATTTTTGTTACAATTTCTTATACATTAAATATTCTTTATTGGAATCTTGTGAAATAAATTTTAACATAATTTTATTATTTATATTCATTTTAAAAATTCTCATAATTAATAATTAATATAATTAATATTTTATTAAGTCATTAAAGTTTCAGTTTGTTATAATTTTTTTTGTTGAAAAAACTCGTAGAAACATAATATTATGGAGATAAATTATTGCATATAGAAAATATACAAAAAAGAAAAATTATTATATGAAAAATTTATGATGAAATTGTTCACTTTTATTATAAGTAAGATAATATAAGATTGTTGTCACTATTTGATATGGTTCTTTCTAACATTATTGTACTTTAATGATGGAATAATTTATTAATGTAATTTTAAAAGTCTACTTTTCTTTGTTAGCACTAAAGAGGGATTTTCTTTGTTAAATGACATTTATTGGTGATACCGTAATTGAACAGGATTTGTACCCTAAAAAATTTAAGACATTTACTGTTAGTTATTCCGTCCTTTTGTATATATTTAAATTTCTCTTTATCTAACGAAATTAAAATATAGTTAACAGTTAACACAAACATGCATATTGACTTTCGACTTGGCATCATGGATCTGAAGAACTTAAAATGTGTAAATCAAAACAAATAGAAGTATACTTAACTTAGGTTCAACTCCTTTATTCAATGACTTTAATTTTGGAGCGTTACTTTACTTAGGTTCAACTCCATTATTTAATACCTTTATTTTTAATTTCACTTCAACTCATTTAGTTCATAAATATTCACTAAGTTAACTAGTGAGTCAAATTTAGTAAGTTAACTAGTTACTAGCATATGATTTGATTTGAGTTAATACATTATATAGTTCTTGAAATTGATAGTGTATGATATATTAGTCTCTTTGCATATGTATATACGTAATGATATTTTAATGTATATATATGTATGTATATCAGCCCCTTGATTTGCATATTCGTAATTATATAAAAACAAAACCTTATTTGTTATAATCTATAATTAAAATACTAGTTTATATACATAAACATGGGTTAAGCCCACTTTTTTTTTAATCTTCCCCTTTTTTTTTAATAATTTCCACTTTTTTTTATTAGAATAACTTTCTTTAATTTATTTAAATTTATTATTATAATAATAATTTTTGCAAATTCAAATTCAGAATTTATTTTCTAATAAAATTCTATGATTATTTCATTTTTTTATTAGAAATAATTTTTTTCCAAATATCAACAATATTTTTATTCTTCCTTAAAATATTAATACTATTACTTGTTTTTCTTTAAAAAAAATAAATAAAAAAAGCCCCTTTCGACCGATGACTTATGCCTTTAAAACTAAGTTAAAAGTGTCATATTTGATTCAATTCCTAAATAAGTAATCTGTCAATATGAATGGTATATCTCTTTGTTACTACATATACTTATTATTATATTATATAATATTATAAAATATAAATAACTGGGATTAGAATCTATATTTATATAATATATAAATATATAGATAGATTATTTGCATAATAACTCATTAAAGAATAAAAAATTGGATTTGTCTAATGAATTAAATATAGTTAAAAATAATTAATTAATATTATATTTTGACTTATATCAATTAAATGGGTTCTTTCTAAAAGGATTCTTCATTTTTCATTTTTACATAAATATACTCACCGATTCAAATTGTTTCATAGAATATTTTTAAATGGATTGAATATGTCTTGTAATTAAACCAAATTATATTTCTCGGCTTAGTATGAGAGTCTCACAACTTAAAATTTATAAATTTCTTACTGTTATATGTTTTACCGTTTCTTTTATGCTATTATAGTTTTTTAATAAATAATATAGTAACAAAAGAAATATTTTGTGCTTCTAAAATATTTTGATAGCTATTAACCGTTATTCCTTATTCCTGAATTAAAATATACAAATAATTATTTTAATGAGTAGCTACATGTTAGTTTTAGGATAAAATAAAAATAAATCAACTCATATATATTAATCATAAATGTCTATCTTATGCTATAATAATTTTATGATTTTTTTTCAACGAAAAAAGTTTTTTTTTTAGAGATTTTTCTAACTTTATATCTAATTTAGTTTTTATTTATTATAACTATTTATGAGTTAAATTTTAATATTTTTAAAATGAATATTTAATGAAAAAATAATATAATATTACAATATAAATTATTTACCAAAAATTAAAAATATAATTCATATATTAAAAATTATTTATTTATTTAAATTTTAAATATAATTTATATATTTAAATACATTATTTATTTAAATACATAATTTATTTTTAATTTTAATTTTATATAATAAACATTCAATATATGCATTACACATACTAAAATACTAGTATATAAATAAATCCAAAATGAAAATCATAAAGTGATTACTAGAAGGAGTATTATATATATATATATATATATATGAGGGTTCAAACGATACCGGTGTAACTTTAACTAAGTGTTACACCGCTCAATAACTTTATATTAAATGTGAAGTTTGTAAATCTAACCGTTAGATTGAAAGTTCATATCTCTTAGATCATATATGTCAAATTTTGTTAAAATTGAACAACAACTTGAAGGTAATCAAAGTGTTCATATTTTAGTATATTTTGAAATGTATATATTACGTCAATTTTGTTTTATGAGAATGAAGTATCAAATCATCTTAGATTAATATAAAATTTGATATATAT